CCCCCCCCCCCATGTTTCGAGAAAATGATTCCAAAAAGATTATCGAAAATATTCCGCAAAAAAAAAAAAAAAACTTCGTTTGTTCGTTCATGTAAAAGACCAGACGTACGGAGGTGCTGAAGTCGAGCACGTTGTGTATCTCATATCCGTGATGCGTTTTACTTCGGTCAGACCACCGGAGTCACATTGAGTCGAGAGAATTTAACAATTTCATCGGCATGTTTTGAAAACCCGCGCAAAGCTAATTTTTTGTCTGCTTCTAACGTCAATTTTGAACTTGAGTCTTCCGTTAAACTTAGCAATGCGTAATTTAGATGCAATTTGTCATAATTTTCAAGGTCAATTCAAGCTAACACACACAAGGTTGAAGCTCACGAAACCGCATTACAAATTTATGAAATGTGGTCATTTATTTTCAGTCTTTCGCAGGACGGTATAATATCCTTGAATTTCTTGAAAAGGAAGAGACCATGCAGAAACAATGAAAAAAAAAAAACTCGCGATACCAAAAATGTGAAGCTGGAAACATTAATACAAAGTTTCAATCTGAAATTGAAACGTTGGACCCGGCGCGTAGTTTAAAAATATCTCTCCTATAGTAGTTCTTGAACGAGACTTATTCGAAAGGAAAATTATTATCCAAAAGACGCCAAAAATTCAAAAACGATCATATGCGAGCAATTGAGATCAGAGGAAGATTCGTTTAATCGTGTGTTGAAAAATATTCGCTCGCAAATTGATCACGGCTTTTTTAAAATCCGATTCTGTGTCGCGGGGGAAAAACACATTTGAAACCAGAGCCTACGGTTAAAAAGAGAGAGAACTCACGGTCATCGAAAATGAGATTTGAAGAAGAAAGGAGCCGGCAATTCCAGAACAGAACCGATTTTCAATCCCGGAAAAAAAGGAGGACATCAAATTTCTCAATCAGAAATGAAACAGATAAGACGATTTGACTTTTCAATTTCTTCACTTTGAAGAAGAAAGGAGCCGGCAATTCCAGAACAGAACCGATTTTCAATCCCGGAAAAAAAGGAGGACATCAAATTTCTCAATCAGAAATGAAACAGATAAGACGATTTGACTTTTCAATTTCTTCACTTTTTCCCAGGAGAACATTTTGTATCGTCTCGCTATACGCAATCAGTCTTCGCTGTAAGATTCCACTTGCGGAGAACAGAGGAAAAATTAGCTTGCAGCGCGGGTGCATGAAAATTCCAAAAAAATTTGAAGCAATATTCTCAATGCGTCGTACTATGTTTTTATCAAGATGTTTCATGTATGTAATGTTGCTGGAACAGAAATTGAAGCAGAAGACGTTTTAGAGACTTTTTGTCGCTTGTATGCTGCTAACCTGAATGGATCGTGTCCAAAACTCGTTGTATCGCTCATACCACGAAACCTTACGGTGAGCGTTTGGAGAAAACTTTTGCTGAGGCATTCAGTGATGGAATTAGGAAATAAAGACTGCATTGAAAAAAAGAAGAAGAATGTACTCGGTTTATTCACATAAAACAGCTGGAATGTGTTCGTACGTCAATCGCTATAGGCTGACACCGAAGGAATATTTTCCATGCAAAAGTTTCGAAGCCGATTGAGAGGAATTCCACGAAAAAAGCCTTGCCTGATAAATCATTCCTGAGCTTGAATGAAACACCCGAAGAGAGAATTATTTTCAAAGTCCTTCAATTTTGTTGTGGCCTGGCCTGGCTTGAACATAGGCATTGAAAGTTTCGATGAAATTCGGGTACGATCGATCATAGTGAATCTAAAAACAAAGAAGAGGAAAAATTAATCTAACGTTCGCTTCCGACTTTGATTAAAAACAGAAATCATATCGGAATAAGAAACTGAATGAAGAAAATATGGAATAGATTCGAATAATCAGAACAATTTCCTGGAGATATCGGATCGATCAAACGCAAAAAGAAAAATTTTTTTCGTTCAAGTATTTTTCGCATCCCCTGAAATCTCGATTTTATTGAAGAGAACGAAAACAAGCATTTCGTCTTTTCCGTCGATTTCCATCAGATGTGGACGCATACGACTTATTGATTACGCAGATTGAAAAAAAAAAACATATTAAAGCGTTAAATCGGGTGAAATCGATTCATCAGAAAGCTTTGTCGGAAATCGAAGCTGATACGTAAATAACATATTGACGTTCTCTTGAAAGTTTCATCTGGAAAAACTAACAGAAACAGCAGGCAACAGGACTCTTCTTACGTTGTTCTCAAAAATTGAAAAGATTATACACTTACCCCGTCGTATTCGATCCAAGGAAGAAGGGAAACCGATGGATGCCTTCCCTTCGTTTTACCCTCCATTGCCAACATGAGCTCTTCCCCAGTTTGTGAGTACAAACATTTGTTGATGTCAAGCCAAGAAACCCCGACGCTTTGGGCACACTGAGATGGAAAGCATAAAAGAAAGAAGTAATAAAGCTCATGTCCAGGATTTTTCGAAATTTGTTCAACGTTTTGAGAGTGAGCACTTCTCGAGAGTTTCTCGTCACCAATATACAGCAGCAGTAAATGTATTTTTCTGTTTCCACATCATTTTAAAAGTAAAATTCGAGTATACAAGTGTGTCCCAAGCATAATACAGTAGAATATCGTTATAACGAAATTTTTGCTCAAAACGAATTATTTTTCCAGGCCCTTGCCCAATCGCCAATCATCTTCTATAATTGCTTTGTGACATGCATATGTTCTTTAAAGGTGGTCTCTCTTTAAAACTATCTTGTCTTCAACGATTTTCTCTGCATAACGATATTCGTTTGGTCCAACGAGTTCTCTACAACAAAATTCTCTCTCTGCAACCATTTTTTTCTGGTCCATTCCATTTCGCTGTAGAGAGAGGCCACCTGTGTAACAATTAGGCTCTTTTCCAGGACCCCAGCTATGCTTTTTTGCAATGAGACGATTTTTTTAAACAAATTTTTCACTCATCCCTGTTCCATTGCCAACATGAGCTCTTCCCCAGTTTGTGAGTACAAACATTTGTTGATGTCAAGCCAAGAAACCCCGACGCTTTGGGCACACTGAGATGGAAAGCATAAAAGAAAGAAGTAATAAAGCTCATTTCCAGGATTTTTCGAAATTTGTTCAACGTTTTGAGAGTGAGCACTTCTCGAGAGTTTCTCGTCACCAATATACAGCAGCAGTAAATGTATTTTTCTGTTTCCACATCATTTTGAAAGTAAAATTCGAGTATACAAGTGTGTCCCAAGTATAATACAGTAGAATATCGTTATAACGAAATTTTTGCTCAAAACGAATTATTTTTCCAGGCCCCTGCCCAATCGCCAATCATCTTCTATAATTGCTTTGTAACATGCATATGTTCTTTAAAGGTGGTCTCTCTTTAAAACTATCTTGTCTTCAACGATTTTCTCTGCATAACGATTTTCGTTTGGTCCCAACCAGTTCTCTACAACAAAATTCTCTCTCTGCAACCATTTTCTTCTGGTCCATTCCATTTCGCTGTAGAGAGAGGCCACCTGTGTAACAATTAGGCTCTTTTCCAGGACCCCAGCTATGCTTTTTTGCAATGAGACGATTTTTTTAAACAAATTTTTCACTCATCCCTGGGAGGTTTTTGTAAAAAAGAGTTTACTGTACAGTACAAGCAAACAGGGGAGAAAAATGAATAGAATTCAAGAAAAAAGCTGCTCTACAGATTTCTCTACCTGAGCATTATATGTTCTCCATTTTGTGATGTTGGTATATATGACACAGGTGTCACCTGAATCTAAGTTCCATTCTATGACAGGATCATTCCAGGTAAAACAGTCAAATGTCTTCAAAACAAACTTCAAGGGACTGGCAGAAAAATGCAAGTTAGGGACAAAATATTTACCATACAGGAGATGTCAACTGGTGATATTCTGGACATTAAATTACTTCTTAAATGAATTGACAAGATGCTGAACTTGAAGGCAAGGGTTTCTTTGCCAAATTAGTCTGTAACTTCCATTAAAAACAAATTGTTAACATATTCATTCTTTGCTTCTTGTGGCAAGTAAGTACAGTACTGCACTATAGCCAAAAAAACCTCCAGAAATCCGTGTTACGGAGAAACTCAGGAGGAAAGCCATGGGGTTTGGGAGGTTACTGTCAATGCTTCAATTTTTTCTGAGGGAATTCAGACGGGGGCTTGAAAAATAATTCGACATAAGGGAGGTAACTTGACTTAAAGAACTTTGAGTATTGATGTTCAACTCTACGTTTATCTAGTTTAATCGTGTATCATTCATTCAAACGACACTTACCGGGCATCCAAAAAAACAAGTTCAAGTGTTTAAATGCGAAGGTATAAATGGTACAAATAAGATACTGTTCTGTACCTCTTCGCCTGCTTTCGGGGGATTCCCTGAGGACATGACGCAGATCATGTACTGCAGGAGAAGGTTCTGTCCTCTAGGTCTGGCTTCTTTCAAGTGTCCCGGAAATTCGTCTTCAGGCTTTGGCTTTACCGGGGATCTCTCCGGTGTCAACACATGCACAGCACATGCCAGCATTCGGTTACCATGGCATTCTGGCTCTCCGTGTTGACATTTCCACTCATTCTTGCCTTCCGGTAATTCTTTGTGCTTGAAAATTTAAGAAAACATCCTCAGTTCGTCAATTCAGAGAAGCCGATAATTTCTCTCGAATCGGCCAATACGCAATGAAACATAATTGATTCGCATGAACAAAACATTCAAGAAAAATTCAGTTGAAACACCGAGGATATTTTGTTAAGAACTGAAAATTCCGTTGAAGAAACTTGATGAAGCTCGGCATGAAAGAAGGGAATTGGTTACATACATATCATATTGTTTTTAAAGGATACAAAACTTCAAGAAGCAAACAGTACTGAAGCAAATCCAAACGGCACGAAGTCCAGGTTAACTTTCTTGAAGTCCATCGCATCCACATGTTTTTTCAGGATTTGTTTGAAGAAGAACTTTGATCCCGGGCATAGAGATTCAAAGTAGATGGAAACCGTCGGTTTCAATTCGTCCTTAACCTTCGATAATAACCGAATACGTTAGTTACAAAGAATCATGACATCAGTCACGAACTCACGACAATAAGCAATACTCGCCACATTCGAGGAGACACTCGCTGCCAAAATGGCAACTGATATGAGGAGCCTGAACATCACTGAAATTTCAAAAAACTTTCACGAATGAAAAAGTTTCATTAGTAACATGTTCAGTTGAAAAAAACATCCTTCACGCTACGTGTTCTCAACATAAAAAAAGATTCAGCAAGTTTTTTAACACTTCTTACACCGGTGAGACAGAGAAAACTCGTCACACACAAGAAAGTTACTGATGAGTAGCGATGAAGTTTCAATGAAAGTGAATTTGTAAATAGAATCGCAAATTTCTAGAATATCCATCGCCGGAAATGTTTCATCAGATCGGAAAAATGAAAACCCTGGTAAACGACCGACAGATATCTTATCTCTGATGTCAATGCAGCCAGGTTTTGGACACCCTGTGCAAAAGGAATCTACTGCACTAAAACCTGCAATGCAACACGACGAAACTGTGCCAATTTTCTTTTTCCCAGCTCCGGACTGCAGATCTGAACGTTTCACTGAATTCAATCGCAAGGAGCTGAAATGAAAGTGATCACGAGGTGGGGAGAGAAAAATCTGAGCGTCGCAACGAAAGATATTTCCAACTCTGGGACACTGAGCTCCCACGGCAACCACGTCAATAAACTCAGTGCACAGATAAAAGGACTTGTCAACATCACCTGGCAGTCAATTCGCGTCCACAATAACCGCGAGTCATCAAGCTGCAATAATGAACGAAATACTTTCGACGCAAACGCGTTTCTTTCCAAGTCGCTGTACTTCCTGATCATCCAAACCCATCGGTTCAACTTCCCGAAAACGCGACTGTTCTGAATTCAATCCCGGCGCAAAATACTCTATTCCATCGGAGGAGTCGGAGTATCCCCTCCACGAAATAGTTTTCTAATTCCCCTCACGATTACTTCTTCTACATAAAATTATTTTTAGGTTTTAGCAGCAACACAATGCAGGGAGAAGCTCTCTGAAAAATGTATCCAAGTTCATAGCAATGAATTCAAGCGTATCTTCTCGATAAATAAATTATATTGAATCATTATATTTTTCCCAAATTATTTTATCTGATGAAGAACTGCACGGATCATTCGTTGCCAAGACGGGTTTTTCCTACAAAACTAGTAAAACTGCTGAAGAAAATGAATATTTTAAAGTAGAACAACACCTCAACCAAAAAACTGGTGCACATTTCCGAAAGAATAATTCAGTCCCAAGATTCTGACCAGAGCTGGTGACTTGTGAGCATTTTGTCCTGTTCCTTAAATGGCTCGGCAGTTCCAATGCACCTCCTTGAAGTTCATGCGGAAATCCTTCAAACGAATGACACTTCGTGCACTTTATAAGAAATGACAGATTTATATGCACTTCGATGCACACAAATGCCTCACAGTGACTTCCTGAATACTGTACTTGAAAATCTCATTGCATCTATCAATGACAATCATCACCGAAGCTTCGCAAGGAAAAAAAGTGACACTGGAAATCCTCAATCGGCAGATGGATTTTGAAATCAAGAAACCAGAATGATATCGTCCAAAACCTGGCGATTCCTTCAAATCGGCTTGTTCCAGAAGAGAATGTTCATTCCATCCTTGATGACCAGATCATCAACGCCTGAAAGAAAAACGAACCGATTTCATAATTTATCATAAAAAGAAATGAAGCTGTCTAGAAAAATAATCACCATCAGCTCCTATAAATGATGTTGGTGGTGGATTTTTAGGATCTGGAGGAAACGGAAGAGTGTACATTAGCCAGTAATGATAGCCCTCGTGCTGCAACTCGATACCACCGATGTTGTGAATGTACCGACCCCAGGGAAAGTCATACGCAGCAAATCTGCAACAACAAAAACACGATTTTCAAAATGTCATCGAACATCCTGTAAACGTGAAAAGTAATCCAGCAATTTGGTTATTGAAGTTCATATCGACTTCTTTTCAGATGACGTTCCCCAAGATAAACAGGGGAATTTTCATCCTACTTCCGAGTCGGAAAATGGAAAACTTTGAAAGTTAAGCTGACTTCATGCCGAACTTTCTGACCCCCACTTCATACACAGAACTCAGAGATCCCATCTCAGTTATGCGACACAGAAATTTTTGAGGCGGCGAATCATGAAAAAAAAAAAATTTTCCGATAGATTTTCTGTCAAAAAAGTGGTCAGTAAACTTATTTTGCTCGGACGTCTTTTGACATAAAGGTAAACATGGGATTAATAAAAAAACTTCTACATTGCTTTACCCATGCCAGTACCCATCACATTCAACGGTAATTTTGGGAAAACGTGGAACACATGAAACGCAGTCGAGAAAGCTGAACAGAGAAGTGAACTTCGGATGAAATTACAACACAATTGTGAATGCGAAGGACATCATTTGACACTCGACCATTTCGGCATTAATCCCGACGAAGAAGAAAATTTATGGCATCCAAAGGTTTATGAAATGCCAACAGCAGATTGGCTTTCCAGCTAATTTAAAACTTCACGTAGTCTCGAGAAATCCTACTACAGTCGCAAGCAAGCAAAAGGGAATGCTTTCCTGAAAGAATAAAGTGAACTTTTCGAAAGACTAATTGAAATCACGGAAATAATTCGGAGAGTCTCAAAAACTCACTCGAATCGCGGATCATTTTCAGCAGCAATCCGCATGAGCTGGTACATGGTACTATTCTCTCTCAGCGTCACAATTTTACTGTACGCAAGCTCAACTGTGAGACCAATCCAAATCGTAAAATTGGCAGAAACGAGGACCACAGTTTCATTTCCCCTGTCCACGTCAAACCCGGGAGGTTCAGTAGGCGTATCTCCGTTGAAATCGCAATGTTGAGAGCGCAGATCGAGCAGGCAAACTCTAGCCAGTCCAGTGAGAATGTGGGCCGTGGTCAACACGTTATCATCGTATGCTCCATCAGCCTTTTGATTTTGAAGCATCCTCTTCTGAAAAGGTTCCAGGAGGGCGGCTTTGTGTCCTTCTCTGTCTGGCACACACATCAATGCCTGACAACGGGGAAAAACTACGTGTTTAATGAAATCCTTAGGAATCTCAACGCAATAGTGTATCGCAGAATTCTGTCGGAAACATGACGGAAAGCACAAAAAAAATTTCAAAAACTTTCTTGTTTATTGAAAAATTGAATGTAGCACCTCATTTCATTCCTGTGATTGATCACAGACCAGAAAGAAACTTTTCGAGGCAGATCATGCACGTTAATTAACCTCCGTCCAAAAATTTCTGAACATCACTTCAAACAATTATTTTAACGTTTAGTTAGAGCCGGGGGGGGGGGGGGTTATTTAGATGTGGGTAGAATCTGGATGCGTTGCCAAATTTTGTTGAAAATTGAAATTAAGCTGGAAACACGCGGAAGAAGCAATATCAACTGAAAATTTAAACCATATCTAATTAAAACTCCAAACCATTTAAAGTTTGATCTCAGTGCTTAGATATTTGGGATTTCAACTTGAACTCAAGTACCATCAAAAATTATCTTCCTCAGTTCGGTTTTTTTGAAGTAAGCTTGCCGCTGATCGAAATTTACCATAATTTCTCAAGTAACAATAACAATAATTAACAATAACAAGGAAAAATAATTTCTAAAGTAGGACAAATAACAATAATTTCTCAAGTAGGACAAATAAATCACGCTTTGTCCTCACCTGGACTATTAGAGACACTGAGGTATCGCTCAAAAAATTCAAATTGTCCGCAGCTTTCGTCAAGTTCAACACCAAATCATCCAAAATCCCGGACACGGCTTCAGCGACACTCTCCGATTCTGCGTTCTTCAGCACACATTGCAACAACATCGCCACCTGCGCAACGGTATCTAAGAAGAAAAGTAAACATGCCTCACGGAATTCGATCAAAAATTAAATTTCATTCGACATACCGTAGGTGTGAATGTTATTTGGATAAGCTGCGACCTCATTCAAAAGCTCCTGAACTGATCTGGCGGGAATCGGGATTCCTCCGACACAAGCCGCATACATAATCCTGGTCCTCGAAAACGCCGAGAAATTCCTATTCGTGATGAAGTCCAAGTTGAGAGTTTCTAGGAAAAGTGGTTCATGATAAGAACAGCTAGTTTCAGCGTCAGAAATTCATCTCATCTTACCCATGAGTTTATAGCCATGAAAGTTCTCAGTATTTATGCATAGTGATGAAAGAGCAAGAACAGATTCCATCAGAAATCTATCTGGATAATTAGGACTCAAACCCCTGCGCAGATTCGGATAGAAACAGTAATTCAAGCAGCAATTTCACAATTAGATCTGCTCAATTACCGGCACAATTCGAGTACTAGCTCAATCTCCAATTGTTTCGTAGACTGAAGGAATCCCGAAGTGGTGGTAAAATTTGTTGACCACATGGCATACAATACTTCTGGCGTATTAGGGAACCACCCCCAGTTTGTGTCTCTGTGTGCCAAAAGCCATTGAAATGCCATTGCCTGAGCCTGTTTTTGGCCATCTGCTCCAATTTCAGTCAAGTTTGTCAAAAAACGTTTTTCTGCAGCTAGCACGATGTCATCTTCTACCAACTTCGTCAAATCAGAACCTTCCGGGGAGATCTGGTCATCGACAGCATCTTCGGTTACGACTTGGCGAAGCACTGCATAAAGGATAATGGGCATCATTTCAAAAGATTTAAAAAATAGCTTCACTTCCCATTTGATCAGCCAAGATCCAGGAAAAGAAACACGAAATAGGAACCCGTTCGTTCATTCTACTAAAATATTCTAACGATGCACGATAAATGTGCGATTGCGCTCGAGTAATATTACCTATCCAAAGATAACTTTTGATATCACACAAATGCTGAACGTTGCGTAAGACGTCATCAAATCTGAGAGGAATCTCAATTTTTTGCCAATTGAAGTGAAACGAAGAAGCTTGATGAAAAAATTGGCAGAATGCTCCCATTTTCTCCCGAACAACAGGAATTTATATACTAACAAACGCCAAGTTTTGAAATTCAAAATCTAGCTCGAAAAAGTGAAATCTAAGGAACAATTAGTCAAATACAGGACTAAAAAATGTCAACGGAAAAATGAAATATGAAAACATAAAAATTTTCACATTTTGTTTTCATTTGAATTTCTATTCGATGGATTATATTTCAAAGTTATTCAAGGTCAAAAAGATTCTCAAACAAGTAATGAAGTGCTGATAATATGAGAAGGCTCAGATTTTGGGCCACCCAAGAAATTTCCCGCAAATGGAAGACGAAATTATTTCCCGAATTAATTTTAGAAAACGGATTCCTGTCGAATTTACTCGAATGTAATGGGTGATTTATTTCCAAAATCTTACTCAATTTCAGCTTGGGGCTCGAGTTCGAAGACATTCCCTCCTCAGATTCGCAGGTAAAGCGCTTTCGAACCACACGATTTTTCGAATAGAATTTATTCATTCAATTAAGGAATTCCTTATTTCAATTTATGGGTCTAGCACTAAAGACTACGACTTTCGATTTTAATGTGAACTTTTCAGGACATTTTTCTGATGATTGAATCATGAACAGAAGCAATCTGCTCCGTCTGATCATCAAAAAATAAAAGGCAATGAAAACGCGTCTTGCATGGAAAATCGTTTTTCGAGAGACAAAATACCTCAGGCGCGCTTACATTACATTTAATACGTTCAAATAAAATACGAATGTATATAAAATACAGCATTCACATCTGAAATCATCAGGTACCGAGACAGTCGGTGGTATTTTACCTTCATACTCACCACAAAGAAGAACAATGCCAGCAGGGATCCAGAGTCTGGAGGCCATTTTACGATCACTAAATCCCAGAGAACTGTACTCCGCGAACCCAGCCAACAAACTGCCGGCTCCTCGAAGAACAACAAGCCCTCCAGGCTTCGCTTCGCAAACCAGGTTTCCCAGCATCGGGTTTCACTCACGACGCACCAACTCGAAACAGCCTCAGACTTCACCTTCAGCTCATCCATAAGGATAGCGACTGTCATCGAACCCCAAGCCTGGGACTGTAGGGCATCATCCAGATCGACGGGTTTACCGAACATTCCTAGTCACTGCGCTGGAACTCACTACGTCATTCCCACGAAGGTCGTAGGTGTTAAAATATTTTAATATTCATATCAATTTCTCGCTTCGAACGTGATTAACGAATTTCGAGGGAAATTCGGTACAGGCCAACAAAGAAGAATTAAAGTACAGACTTCTCAGCACAAAAACAAAACAGAACCAAGAGCCTGGAAACTCAAGATTACTACGCAGATTCCGAAGAGAAACATTTTGAAAGAAAACGTCGAAAACCGAGAATATGACTAGAAATTAATTGAATGCGAAGATCAAGTTATGAAATACGGAAAATTCATTTACAGTCGTGGCATATCAACGATTCCAATGGACTCACACTATTGTTGGAATCATCATTCACAACAAAGCTTCAAAAGGCAACCAGGATGCACTTAGCAAGCAATCACCGATGATCCGAAACTCGATCAATCACGAATGTGTTAAGGCTTGAACGTTCCATTCGCTCAACAAAACTAGAAAACGGTATCTCGTTCAAAAAAGGCACGACCGATCAAACAAAAAAGTTTCAGCACGATATTTCAGAAGGCTCTTATAACAGTAGAACCCCCAAAAAAGTAATCATAGTCACTCACAATTGAATATAATTGATAATCCAAATAATTTGAATTTAAAATCGAAAAACGAGAATTCAGGGTTGTAAATTACCCAGAGGAAAACCTTTCCGCGTTCGGCCAAAAATCAGTTCTCCGGCAGAGGCAGTTCTGGAAGCTTCGCTGTTACGAAAACGACTCGCAAATTCTCAGCACATCCAATCGAAACAAAGCCCCGAAAAAGTGCGCGTGCTTTTCAGGAGAAATTATACAAAACCAGTCATGTTTCGAGCGACAGGGTAACAAATAATAATTCCATACTTCCGACAAACGTGCACCACACAGACTTGAACGAATATCCTTCTCAACAAAGCTCTTCTCAAATTGCGGAGAACAAAACTCACAGCAGGTAACAAAACTAACTTATCTCATTCAATCTTCACGGGAGAATAATCCAAACATCAATAGTAAAAGAAAGGAAGCAGCCCGAAGTTCATGCGAAAGAAAATTTGTCTTTGATGCGAATAACGAAGCTCAGATCCTTATCATGCAAAAATCATAGAGCTACAGAAATGCAAAAAGATTAAAACAACTTAAAAACAGCCGACGTTTGTTTCAGTGCCATTGATTCGACGGGCGACTTCAGTGATGATGTGTAGAAAATCGTGCAGAAAATCATAGAAATCTCCATAAAACTGCTTTGCAAAAAGATTAAAACAACTTAAAAACAGCCGACGTTTGTTTCAGTGCCATTGATTCGACGGGCGACTTCAGTGATGATGTGTAGAAAATCGTGCAGAAAATCATAGAAATCTCCATAAAACTGCTAAGAAGAATGAGAGTGCAGCGCTTTTACATGTTCCATGACTCTCTCGGTGCATCAAGAAGTGGATCTACAGTTCAACAACACTGAAAATCGGGCGAAAAATGGGAGATGCGATTCCATCGATACTAAATGAAGAGCCTAGAAAAAGTGCATTTTAAAAATACATGAACCAACGGTAAATATCCGGGCTTTCGTCAGAGAAAAGTTGAGAGAGCTGCTGCCCATTTCAAAGTTTCGTGCCGAATCGTCTTCCATCAGTCCACGAACTTCCGAAGCATACGCTTCTGCTTCACGGGCATACGACTTCACGGGAACCACGATGATTGAAATCAGTCGAAATCCGAAACGGCTGAAAACGGTGGGAGTTTTCGGGTCGTACGATCGATTTTGCGTAGGAACCGCGATGTCTGCATTCGCATATTTACAAGCTTACGGTCAACGCCTTGCCATTAGAAAAAACCTCTGATAATTTCCGCAACCGGCTGGTGAACGTCGATCACCACCAGTTCAGGTCGATTTTTCTGGTGGCAGAACGGATGGGATGGAGACAACGGAGACTGCTCACGTATCGGATCGAAAAACGGAGATTTCGGCGAAATTGGAGGCGTTGAATTCGGTGAGATCCCCTTCAGGCTGACGAAGCGTTTGCCCGGCGTTACGTACAAGTCAGAGGGCGAAAGTCCACGTGAGGCCGCATTCCGAACGGCAGTCTCAGAGTCGCAATCACCGTTGATTAGAGAGCCAGGGTTTTTCAGCAAGTCTGCGGGCCATGAAAAATAATGACGAACACCGATCTTCATCTTTTGGAGAATCTCAGCATCTGGGCAACGCTAATATTGTAGTTCAATGGTTCAAGCGCTAATACAGTACTTGTACCGCATTTACGCTGACATACGCCAACTTGTAAATCATAAAAGAGCACATGAATTTTCGCGTGCCCCAAATTCGGAATTTTCGAAAATCGGCCGATTAATACTACACAGTAGTTCGAAGGTGAGACCCAAGCTTGAAAAAATAAATCTGCGATCACATCAACCTTAAAACCGTGAAGTGCAATTATTGTACAGTGCCTGTACGATGTTTTTAGTCCATTAGAAGCGTTTCAACCATTCCTCGTCCTAAGATATGCTTCACTATTTTAGAATACTTTTTTTTTCGGCGATACTGTATGCAAATTGTATTTGCGTAAAATCCGCAAAATATGAAGATTTGGCATAAACGGCGGTAATTTCAAGATTGATAAGGTTCCACACATCCTCTGGTTCTACCTTGATTTAAAGGCATTCATGGGCTATTATGAACCCATAACTATGAATAGCGGAATTGAAAACTTTCAGGGTTGATGAAGTGTACGAGAAACTCAGGAAAATCACGAAAAAGGGGATCATCTTCTGTTGAAGAAAAAACCCCTGCACTTCAAGTGAAAGTGGATGATTTAGAAAGGCTTGCATTTAAGAGGAATGGAAAGCTTGTCCATTTTCTTTCCAGGATGGCCAGGACTAGTAGATGGGTCCACATTAACAACCTGGGGCACGATATTGGGATTCTACGATAAGTTCAACACCAGAAAATCCTTGTGGCACAGAGCTTCTTGTCGGAGAGAGAATCCAGCTAAAATTTAGAGAGAACCGTATAGGAACAAAAATAAATTCGTTGTAGAGACAATTGGAGAGTCCACCTGTGCAAGAGGAGGTGAATTTATTACGAACTGTTCACACATCTGCGGTTGCAGCTACACTGAAGCATGATCATATCAGTTATTTTTCCTCAGATGGGCTTCCAGAACTCCATCATACTTAGCTGGTTCTACTGGCTGGGGGCAGGGCAACGAAAATGCTATGAAATTTGAACAAAACGCTGAAAAACATTTAAAAAACGAAGATTTGATCTTACTGCTATGAATGGAGTTAGAGCGCATGAGGGCCCTTATCAACCCTAATCTCAGTAGAAAGAACTTGATTAGTTTACCAGGAAACCAATACCAAACGAAATCGTACAATTTTGAATGCTTATCTTGCACAGGAACGTGAAATGACTTGGAACACGGGAATGCACTTCTTCAAAAGTAACCGCAGGTAACACAGTCTTCTGCGTGAATTCGTTCAGAACGGAAACCGCGGTCTTCCCATCCAGGCTCAGCCCTCTAGAATGAGAAAAGGACCAAGAAAATAATTGGCCTAGTGAAGCGAAAGCGGGCACCTACGCTCGATAATTTTCTTTCAAATTAGCGCTCAAGCATCTCAACATATTCTCTGCTGCATTTTGCTTCGCACTTTTCTTGCTGGACGCACTTCCGGACTGCTTCAGTGTACAGTACCCAAAGACGCCTTCAGACATGCTTATGATGCCTTGAGAAGAGCACGAACACAACACTTTACAATCCTGCGAAGATACCGAAGGTTAGGAACTGGCATTGCGACTGACCAGATTACTCGTTCCACAATTGCTTGAACCATGAAAAACCACAAAACGCATGGGCAAGATCGACGCTGTATTCCGTTCAGAACCTTACAAGGAACACAACAAGATCTTCGAAAGAATTCCACCAACATCAACGATAAGACTTCTGGTACCGTGCACGGGCACCAGGACCGCCGAATTTCTTGGGCTCGCAACGCCTCGGGTCAGCAACCAGGAGAGTACGATCGTACTGAGACAGAATATCCTTGATTTCCTTCTTCGAAGCTTCGTCAACATCTTCAGAAAGAAGGATAAGGAAATTCAAGTACAGAATCACCGCGAACACTTTCCCCCGTGATATTAGCCAGCTGGACTATACATTTCGAGATTAAATGATTGAGATCATGACTTACATTTCTGGTAGTACGCAACCAACGCCTTTGCTAGAGACTGACGAATGGCGTACACCTGAGCGACATGACCGCCACCACTCACACGAATGCGAATGTCAACGTCGGCGAATCGTTCCTTCAAAAAAATCAAAATAACATGCTATTCTGCAGGAGAATGTCAGTTATCCAGTACCTTCCCAAGAAGGAGAATAGGCTCCTGCAGCTTGAACTGAAGCATTTTCGGCTCAACGAGCTCCAACGGTCTCCCATTGACCTTGATCAGTCCACGTCCACGCTTGCAGTACGCAACGGCGGTAGCAGTTTTCTACGAAGAAAACAATTTGTTTTTGGCATTAAAGACATCGGTGCGAATGTACAGTTTGCTCAACTCACTTTCCTCCCGAAGACTTGAACGGACTGGATTGGTTCCTTGGCGGTAGACTAAAGGATGGGGAAACGTTGCTCATAAGTAAAATGCAATTCTGATTATGCACTGCGTCTACATTCAAATATCTTACCTCCATTGCACTCCCACTTCAGTAAACAATGTGAATCCACGTCGACCGGACGTTCGAGATGTACACTTTTCTGCGAATGAAACCAGAAAAAACCGTAATCCTATATAATTCCCGCATCATTTATCGATAACATGTGAAAAACTCGCGAACAGAATTTCCCACAACTTCTCTCATCATGATCACTTAAAAGCAACATCGAGGCGCTTTGCAGTAACGCGATCACGAATCCTGGCACCGCGACATTGACCGAAAAATGGCCACGCTTCAGGTTTGGGAGTCTTGCACGTCGAAGGCTATAAGCATCTATCTTTTGGGTGGGAAAATACGACGAGGAAGCCGGAAAGTGGATAAAGCAATGTTTTGCTTTAAGATGTCGCTGTTACAATTTTTTATTATACAGTAAATCCGTACGCACTGTAAAAATTGTTCACGCAATTAAAAAATAGATTTAATTGGTAGTGAATTTTAATTGTACAAGGAACGTACATTCAAACGTCATTTACTCGGAAGAAAATACTGTAGTTTTTTCATTCAAAACTTCATGTATGGATGCGCAATATTTAGGTTTTTATGATCTTTATAATGATTTGAGAATATGATGAATCTAAAACATCAATAATAGAGTACATATCTAGGAGGGTTCGTTCGTAAAATATGATAAACGACAAAATGCTGTCATTCGAGGTGGATGATGCAATTTTTCTTTTGCTCCTCAATGCTTCATTGGTGCTGTCTAATAAATGTTTGATTCTGTAGTAACCCACCCCATTTCTATTGAAAATGGAGCGACATCTTTTTGATTCTGCCTGAACTTTCTTATGAGTTGTATTGTGTTTGTTGTGCGGAATTTTTTCCTGCAAAAGGGAGACTGAAAATCGCGAGCAATAATTAGTGCGTCTCGGGACGCGCCTGCAGCTGTGAGCACTCCCCTTGACAGGGACACAATGTGCAGAATTTTACAACAGAGCAACAGAAAAAATACCATTCCCAGAACTGGGGCAATACCAGATTGCAAAATCAGCAAAAGCCTAGAGAGGGGAATTGCTCCCTTTCAGTAAAATTTGAACTGGGGGACAAAATAAAAACATGACCAGCTGCTGGTAAAAACGGGCGGAAATGTATCCATTTCTTGAAAAACAATTTGTCCTGAGGCCTTGGAAAAATGCGTAACTGCCCAAAATTGTGTTTTCTTCAGAAAATTATCTTCTCAGGATATTAGTTTATTGCTGAAAATCCCTGTTGAGCTTGTAAACCCTACACCCGGTGCTGGGAAAAACATGCACAGAACCCCGAAAAACAGCACTAAAATTTGCTGTCAGCTGCCAACATCTGGCACTCTACAAAACTTCAAAAATCCCAGCACCTGGGTGTTTTTCTGTCTTCAAAAAATCGCGCCAAAACGAGTGGGGAAAATTGCTTAAAACCCCCCAAATTTTGTGTCACAAACACAGTCACAGTCCAGGAGTCACTGGGCATTTTTTTGTGTGCTTCAAATTCGGAAATTCACGGACCATGCAAAAATCTATAACATTTTGTCTAAGTGTTTCAAACCTTTTTCCAACTCTGGAACTAAGTTAGAAGTCTTGTAAAATTTCCTGATCAATCCTATTTGATCAAATTGATCTTTACAAACAAAACTCTGCATTTTTAGTTTATTTCAAATCCTGCGCTTGAGAGAATTGGTGAGTTAAGAAAGAAACTTTATAAATACTATTTTTCCATTTCTGGAACTGAACCTTGCTTTAATTAAACTTTACACAGTCCAAATTTTGCCGTCGAAGCGTTACTTTGTGTTGTGTTCATTTTCATACTTATCCAAAAAAGTCTTAAAAACCGCGAAAACTGTTGTGCATATTTTTGCTGCTGAACCTGTTGTGAATATTTTGTCTCTGTACCTGTGAACCTTTTATTGATTTTGCTAACAAAGGCTTGCGCTGTTTGGGAGAGAATCCCTGGTTGGTTCACGCACTGGCCAATTGTTGTGTTTTACTTTTTCCTGAAACTGAAACTTCTTAATTAATCTTCTGCACCTATCTGTCTGACAATCATCCTCTAAGTATTTCAGGTGTAATCAAATAATATTTTGACAAGGTGTACGGCTTTAAACATTTCTTCTCATTAAAAACCATACATTTGTCTCACAGTGCCTCACGTACAACTTTTGCACAGAAATCACACGTCGCTTCGCATAGTACTGTATACGGTATACATAGGGCAAAAGGCCAGAAATAGAAAAAAAATTGGAGATACAGTAAATGGTATTCACGAAATTTCATAATCGAAAGCCAGCCAAAAGTAATAATTCATCGCCTACAGTATATTGGAATGTGGGATTGATCCGGTGTGGCCTCCTCGGAAAGCACGTATTGATCGCATATTCAGTAAAAAAAATGTAAACTTTTCAGAAGGGGGATGTCATCTATCGAAGAAGGGGTTCAGAGAATACGGAAAATAAATGAACTGGAGCTTGCTTTGTATATATGAAGAATTGGGTATTCGCGGAATGAACCAACAATTTTTCAATGTTTTGCTGTACAGTCCTACGTGTAGGCTTAATTTCAATCAGTCGTTCATGCATTTGTTACAATAATTTCGTGGGTGTTGAGAGAAGATTATTGTAGTCGGGTAAAATGAACCCGACTTTTAAGGTTATAATCTTAACTTCCCATCGCGAATCCTGAAATTGAAGGGAAATTCCCGATGCTCTATAATATATGAATCGCAAATCATTATACTGTACTCATCCAAAAATTAATCCGAGAACTTTTGAAAGGGTCATCAGCAAGGTAAAGTTCACAATCCAAAAAATTAACACAAGAATTAATTTGCCTCATGAAAACTTGCGTCACATTGCGAAAAAATCGCAGCTTGTCTATAAGATTAACTTTTAATCAGTGGAAATTTATTTATTCGAATGGGGATACGGGAATTCAAGGCTTGAAAATCGAGAATTTGGGAAATATTCAGCAGTCTTTAGCGCAATCTTTATGCTATTAGCAATGCGCCTAGTATTTCCTGAAATTCGATAATTGGCAGATTTTCCAATTGTACAATGTGATTAATTTTAAAAATACATGTCAATACAAGTGGATGACAAGGTGAGCTGAAAAATAGTTGAAACATTATGAAAAAACTTAATATGTCCCCAATATAGATGTTGGATGCCAGAATATAAGTTCTCTAGGTAAAGAATCAAATTTCTGCATGCAAATTAAGTAAATGGGTAATTAGGAATCGTTATTGCTTGTACCGTGAAGTTAATCGAGAGGTTTTCAGGCAATGAAATAAATAATTCTGATGATGTAATAAGAGAACGCTCTGCGTATAATACATTTAAAATAGCATTGCTTTATTTTCATTATCCATGCATTAAGATTTTTTCAGAAGGTTCCATCACCGGTCCAAATACAGATTAATTTGTTCTCATCCGTTGCCCAGAAACTAGTACATCAAAATATTTCTGGCTAGCAATAACGAGGTTCGATTCTTCTGCTTTTAAATACAAGTTCCGATACTATGTCCTGCTTCTGTTGAAAAGATGCCGATAATCGCTTTAAATTCTTCATTTCCGCTAATTTTTCGAGTAATTTCTGACTCGGTTTTATTCGAAGAAACTTCAAATGAAGGCGAATATCATTAAAAAAAAAATTTAGGATGCTCCCCAAAACCAGACCAGCAATTACGACTTCACGCCGGGGGCAAGGTCTATACACAAGTGCGTCATTTTCCCCGGGCGACGTTTTACATTTTATCACTTACCAGACACCTACATTTTCACGTGAAGAAAACATTGGGTTCTTTAACTAATCGTTTTGAGGGAATTTTTTCCAGTTCCCACGGTTTCTTCGCGCGAAAATGAGTACAGTATCTTCGTTATGAAGCAAATCTGTTTCTGTTTCGGAATTCCATTTATTCCTTCCCGAGTTTTATATAATCACCGCGAGAAATGCATAAAGGACGAAAAAAAGGACCATGAATCAAGAGAATGTGTGAACATTCCCAAACTCATTGAAAGTGCTTTAAAAATATTTATTCTACACTTTGCTGGGAATAAAGATTCGCGCGCCGAAATAATTTTTATTCCATTTTTTTGCACACAATGAACGCTGGCTGCGATGAATATCTGCGCCAGAAATTACTGGAATCTTCGTTGAATAATAAGACTAAATCGAAGTAAAATACAGTAATGTTTCAGAACAGATTTAAAAAGGGAGAAACACACTTCAAAAAATATCTTGCCTCGTTTCCGAGTATCTTTTGCATTAGCTCCGTAATACGCTGTCGAAAAAAATATTTATTCAGCAATTTATCATTGAAGTATTTATGAAGAAAATTCCCAGTGGATCTTGAATGGATTTGCTGGTCCATTTCGAGGCTCATTACAATAATCAGTTGAACAACGGGACATTTTAGGAGATCCTGAAGCGAATTAACTTTTACAAAACTTTCATTGAATGCCAATGCATAAACTCCAGTAATTAAAGCATCAGACTATAATCCCCAAGATTCCCAACGAATCGGAATTCAAACCAAATTACCACGCGAAAATTCATAAAAAATGAAGAATCCGATTTATTTCGCATCCTTATATATATATATATAATGAAACAGTTGATGCACATGCAGAAATTGAATCGCGGACAATTTTTATTTTTTTGCATCGGAACGCATCAATTTCCCTGTTTAACATGAACATCAACATAATTGCGAACAAACAAATCTCTTCAATTTTTTTCGGCCAACATTTTGTAAAAAATGGATTGTCTCTGCCAATGATGCACTTGATAGAAAAACAAAGCATCACTGTTTGCAGCAAAGGGCCTTTTTGCCAGTCCAACAGGCACTTCCAAAGGGTCCCAACGTTTTGCCGGAGGTCTGCGATTCTTCGCCTTGATCTTTCGTCCTTGCTTCTCTAAAATGGAAAAGTAAAAAAAAATATTGAAAGCACGTCGAGAATTGAATTAATCCAAGTACAGTAATATATCGCGTCGATAAATTTTAGCTTCTTTTTCACAGCAAGAAACCCAATACTGTATCAACTTTTCAATAATACGGTGAAGAGTAGATCAGTGTTATCAGACACGTCCACGAGAGCTAAGGCCAATCCTGAGCAAAATCTGCAAAAACCTTAGTTTCACTCAGTGAATAGCTGTCGAAAATACGGCAATTTTTTCAACCTTTAAACTGAACCTTGCCTAGCTCACTTTACGTGGCATAGTGTTGTGACTGTCGTCTAACTCTCATTCGCAGATGACTATAAGAATCAAACTTTTTAAAGATGCGCTGAGGAATTCAATTTCAATCCAATGTTTGTGAAAGAGGAAAATCAATGCTGAGGAAAATCAAAGCATGCAACGCTTTTCATGGAAAAATTAACAAGATTCACACTCTTGCTCAAGTGTCACTAAAACGTGGGTTGGAATGAAAAATCGAAAATTTCTGCATTCAAAACGTGTTTCTGAAATTGATCCGACAAGAAATCACGTCAATCGACGGAATTTTTTCTTCAAACAAAAGCCATTACTTCATCAGCAGCATAACTTGTCTGCATAACATCATCATTGTGCATCAAATAACGAATTTGGCCAGGAATTATCCGATTCCTCAGCATTACAAAACAAAACGAGTCTTGTAAAATGTAACATTTTTCCATTTTATCCAAACATTTATATTAGACTGAAGCACATGGCTTACGTGTACCTATAATAATAAAGTAGTCCAAAGAACAATACAGCGAATTAAGTCAGCATTCAAGGAGTACGAATTTGAATAAAAGATCACGCATGTCAAGTCTAAAAAACGATTTCCGAAAACATTTAAAAATAGACGAAAAATGTCAATGTTTTATGCTCAAAAAAATTTTCGAGACGACGGATGATTTTCAAAAGATTTCTACGAAAAGAAAAAAATTCTAGAAAATTCGGATTTGAACGTCATGCGGCATCAGTCTTTTCCAATATACTTGCTCAGTTATGTAAATATTTTTTTTCTCGTAAAATTCAGAGATGCCAAACCTTTCGAATTTCAGATGGGGCGGACAGACTCCTTCGCAGAACGGCGCCGTTCCGTACCATTCGCAATCGACTTGGTTTTCGTCGCCTTTCTTTTTGTCACCGTCTTTTGGATGTTCACCCGTCTTATGCTCATCACTCTTCTCGTCGTAAATCGATGGAGTAAAATTGTCGTACATTCCTCGGCACAGCGCCTTTGATCCAGAAATGCACGAATTGCCAAATGGCACAACGAGATTTGGCAAGCCTCCGATTTCTTTGGGCTCCTCCGACGCCGTCCTTTTCGTATTCAACGCAAAAACACGAAGAAAAAAAAACATAGAGAGCATGTCAACAACACAAATTCATGAAAATGTCAATAGCTGTGGATTTTGAAAAAAAATATTAGCCTTTCAATAAATTAACTAATGAAAATTGTCAGAAAAATCAGTGGAATCAAGGAGTTATTGCGTTAAAACCTTAGCGTGTATACAGCTGACCAAAAGGGGCGCCGATTTTGAATGAAAAATATCACTATCCACGAATACAGTATTTCAAATGCTGAACTACGAAGTGACGTTAATTCTAATTTTCTATGGACAGCTATAATTTTTTTTTCGCCAAACGACAAATTGCAAAAAAAAAAGAAAAATGTACGCACTGAGGGATTTTTTTTAAATTCTGTCTAATCTCAAATTTGAAAATAAATTTGAATATTAAAAAAATCAAATAATCTCACATGACTTCATCCATTCCCTCGGGACAACTTCCGACGCAAAATGGAGCCACACCAAACCATTGATAGTAACTGTAAATTCCAAAACTCGTTTGCCCTTCCACAGCATATTCATTTCTTGATTTCGGACGCTGAACTGGAAGATCCTTTCCACCAATTGTCGCCTTGTATTAAAAAAAAAGCCATTTCATTTTTCTACGAAAATGCAAAAATTAAAAATCATGCGACTTCAGGGTTGAAATTACCTTTCCATCATCCGGTTTGACTGAATCTCCGGCTTTGCCAGCAAGATCTTTCTGAAATTGTACCCGACAAGAAATTACGTCAATCGACGGAATTTTATAAAAGAAATATACTTCGATAAATAAAAAATAAAAGATTACCGTTCCATCATCCGGTGTGACTAAATCTCCGGCTTTCCCAGCGACATCTTTCTGAAATTGATCCGGCCAGATATTACGTCAATCGACGGAATTTTATAAAAAAAAATGCAGTACTTTCATAAATTTTTGTTCGAACAAAAACCATTCAATCAAGAAACCTCACGCCAAATCAGCGGTTTTTCAAACGACGATGCTTTTAATTTTCGAAAATGCAACTCGCCTTACCACTTTGTCTACTGCATCTTCAGCAGGGCTTTGCTGGTGAGAAAAGCACAAGAGGAATGCAAATAAAATGAAAACCACTAGCTTCAATTGAGCAGTCATGCCGACACACGAGTTATTTCAGCAAATTTGCAAGCCTTTCCCGTGAAGTGTTCAATAAAAACTGCTACGATTCCGCCTTTCGAAATTTGCGGCAAGGTTTTATGGAAAATTTCTCAAGTCAGAGAAAGAGAGATAAAAAAAAATAAAGGCTGGGTTGCTAGGCTCCAGCAAATTGCGAAGGTTGTTCCACGAATTCGACAAGGTTCCAGAAACTTCAAGAAGAAAATAAATGCCCGACGTGACGAAACGATTCGAGAGAAAAATGCGTTTATTATTCTTCCGTCATAAAAAATCAAATGTGGGTTTTTTTCTGGAACTCAATTCTCACTTTTTCCTCGCAAATCGAAAATGTAAAACGCGTATTTTTCTATGTTTTGCAGCAAAGCGACTTCTGGCCAGTCCAGCAACGGCTTCCGAATGGTCCCCAAGTTTGGCCCTTATTTTGCCCCAGTTGGGCCAACGGATTATCCCTAGCTCTCCTGCAAAAAATAATATCAAATTAGGAAAAAGCTCAAATAAGTTATTTATCATTTTTAGTTTTTAATTATTTTTATTTTTTCACTTTTATTTTTATCAACAAAGTCTTTTAATGATTTTAGAAACAGCAGTAGCATGCATTCAAGCTTATGTGTTTTCGATTTTAATTACACTATATTCCTCTGAACTATTATTTTTTATTTTAATAAAAGTATAATATAAAATAATTAGATAAAAACTAATTTATAATAGAAAATAATAATTAAAGATTAATCAATAAAAATGCACAGGGTCAAGCTATCCAAAGGTTGGTTAAAAAAAATTAAGTAATGATAAAAGCTCACATTTGAAATCGCGTGGAAGGAGGACAGAACGTGAAGCAGAACGGAGCTGTTCCGTGCCACTCGCAATCAACCGAGGGTACTTCGACTGTTCGACTCAGGCTTACATTTCCTATTTTGGCATCATTGAATTTTGGCTGATCGGCCTTTTCGTACATTCCTTTGCAAAGTGCCTTTTGACCAGACAAGCACGTGCGACCAAATGGCACGTACAGGTTCGGCAAACCAAAGATTTCCCGAGGCTCGCTCGACGCTGTTCTGCAATACAGAGATATAAGCAATTAATAAAATTCGGGGTAATAAAATCCATCCTGAAAGGGATCAATCTCATTCTCAACAGCTATTCGATGATTTTTCGAGGAACATTTCGGCCGACATGCAGAATATAGTTATTGCAGGAAACCGCAGATTTCCAAAATGTATATTTTTTTGAATTAAATCAGCAATTACTGCGTATTGACCTTGAACAAAGATAATATTGTGCCACAGACTATTTTCCCTCGAATCCGTGACAGGGTTTCTGTAGTACCCGTTTTTCAACACTTATCCCATGTTACAGCATTTTAAAATCCTCAGCTAGGTGTCGCCTCAATAGAAAAAAGGACCAAATACAACCTGAATGACCGTAACTTTACCCTCAGCTAAAAATAACCGAACGGAATGTAACAATGTTGAAGAGACATCTATGTACAGAAAAAGTTGAACTCATGTTAGGCTTTGATTAAACAAAAAGAAAAGAAGAATCACAAGAAGTGCCCGGAAAATCCATGCTCAACAACCACGTGAGAGCTGATTTTGCCAGGAAAAAGAAAAATTTAGTGACTATTAGCAAATTGAAAATGATTAATTAATTTGTTATGCTATTTGCTTTGAGTACTTTGACTTCTTGATCCTGACTAGCTTTTTGAATAATTTAAGGACCCTTTCAGCAATTTTACTGAATAGATAAATAATTATCCAATGAGATAACATGTGTAGGGAGAAAACATCAATAATTCTGAAAGTGTCACCGTTTAAAAATCAATGAAAAGTATTAACTTCAGCATAAGTCTAATAAGTCTAATAAGTCTATTCAGCATAATGCCTTGTTGAGAGAACATTTGAGAAATTCTTGCTACACTCTGACCGTTGTCAAAAGTTTTACTTTGAAGCTAGTTAAACCCGTATAATACAAATCAACCTGGATGATGTGCTTGTATAAAACAGTTATAAACAAACTTAGAACAAGTAACATACGGAACAAACTACTCAAGCGACATCTACACAACAACAATACAAGTCAAGCAGTTGGGAAGGACGCGGTTCGTCAAGTGAAATGATCAAAATAAATCCAGCAATAATTGCGAATAAGTGTCCCCTAAATTACTCAAAATAACCACAGAAAAACTTCTCAATTTTTTTCAGAAAAAAAAACATCTGCCAAGCTCAAGAAAAACTCACGTCACGATTTCAGTTCCAGTTGGACATTCCCCTGCACAAAATGGAAAACTTCCGAACCATTGGTAATAAGCATCTCGTCCGAAGGCCGTCTCTTCCTTAACAACATAAGTGCCAGTTTCAGTGGGCAAATCAATTGGAACGCTTTCTCTTGTTTTGGGAATAGCCGGGTCCTGAAATCCAAAAAATAAAATCTCAATTTTTAGCTTCCGTTTCCTGAATGTCAAGTTCTGTCGTCCTGCCTGGTTGGTGGTATTTCCTGTTGGAGTAGTTTCGTTTTTGTTCCGGTTCGTGGCCTAAAAATAGGAAAAAGTCGTATTTTCGTGGTGGTTTAAGCTGAGAAACAAAATCGAATATTAACGACTCATCTTATGTTGAAAAGCTATGTTTAAAGCGGCTATTGCTCCCCGGAAATAAAATAAATGAACTTCAAGCCGTACAGCATTTCTTCCAAAATTTAAATCGCTACAGAACACTCAACACAGTAGCGTTTACTGGTTAATGAAATGAAGAAATGAATGCAATTTATCTCCATTAAAGCTTCACGATTTAAATCTCCAATAAACACTACAAGAGCACCTTCATGTCCGAAACAGGGGATGAAAATTATACAAGTGATGAAAAAAATCAGCGATGGAATATCAAATTTTAGATAACATCCCAGGGAATGTCGATATTCACTATATTAGCCCGCAGAAAATATAGAAAAATAAACCTCAATGCTAATCAAACAGTAAGACATGTTTATTTATAGATCGAAGGAAATAATTGCTTTAATGCTGATACAATTCAATAAGCATCAAGTTTGTCAGAGTGACTGAAATGATGATATATTTTCTTCAACGAATCGGCATTCGATTATTTGCAAACCGGATCATTACTGCTCTAAAATCCCCAGGACGCAAAACTGTATTGATTAAAATTGCAAAATCCTGCAAATATTTTTTTCCAAAAATGTTACCTCTTCAGGACTTCCGATCTGTGTTGTGGAATTTGTTCGCTCTTCACCGCAAATACAAGCGTACAAGCCGCAAAAAGCCAGGACCAACAATTTCATTTCACCGTCACCTTTTTGGCACAAACGCACTTCGTAAATCAACCCAACATAAACGAAAAAATTGACTGATTAATTTCAGCGCATGAATTAAATCAAGATGTAATTATTGCCAATATTCATTTTCTCAAAACAGTTGTCCCAGTACCAGACATAACCCATGAACTGCAATGCAAAAAAAAAAAAATCACGAAGAACAACCCAAGCGTTTTTTTTACAACATCCACTTCAGAGATGGAACAGCATTCTAATGAACTATGGAATCGATAAGATGGTTCGTTTAAATATTTGTTTGAGTGAATCCCATCAGATATCACTAATCCTCGTTATATACACAGCTGTAAAAAAAAAAAAAAACGGATTTCGAAGGTCGATCTAGGAAAAAAGTTTATGAAAGGATGCTCAACATTCACAAGGACACGTCCTTTCTTTTCCGATTTTCTTTGGAGGTTATTCATTGAAGAAAAAATAAATTCTGGGAGCTGAATTCACTTAAGGAAATGAATATATTCGTCAGAGTCTTGGAAAACCCGCCCTGAATAAGCAGCTCACTACGAAAAATAAACCAAATGAGGCTTTAATACCGTACATTGAAGACTTTATTTCTGAACAACATTTAAAATTGCTCAGCATGGAAATAAATTTTGGTTCCAAATCCCATCAAGCATATCGACTCGAGTAAATGTGGAACCAGGAGGAAAGAACGATTTATGCAACACAAAATCACATTTTTAACAAGCTTTTCAATCACTTGAATAATTAAATCGCAGGCAGACGAATTTGCAATTTCTTTGTTTTTAGAATTCTGGGATCCTAAAATCCAATTTCCGGAATTCCGAAATCCGATTTTCGGGAATCTCCAAGGACTTTCACTCCCAATTCTACTGTCCGAAACGCGGGGTCTACTAACCGAAACAAGCGAACATGAATGGAACAGTGCGAACAAATAATTAGAAAGGTCTTCCTTTACAAAAATAAGCTAAATCTCTCGATCAAATTTCTCTCTTACCAACGAAACCAAAAATTTTTCGCAGAGAAAGAGTCGGAAGTTAAGGCAAGGTTAAACAGAGCATATATCTCAATAATATCCGTTTTAGCATCCATGAATCAGCAATCAAATCCAAGTCAGACGGAAGGCCATAAAAACAGTGCTCATCATTTATTCCACCGCGAATTCCCGGCCCCTGTCCCGGGCTGATTCTGTGTTTTTCTTGACAATCTATTATCTACTAATTTCTTTCTTTACAGCCTAGCTTTTTTCTTGTTGCAGTGACTTCAGTCACCAACAATCTCCAAGGACTTTCACTCCCAATTCTACTGTCCGAAACGCGGGGTCTACTAACCGAAACAAGCGAACATGAATGGAACAGTGCGAACTACTAATTAGAAAGGTCTTCCTTTACAAAAATAAGCTAAATCTCTCGATCAAATTTCTCTCTTACCAACGAAACCAAAAAATTTTCGCGGAGAAAGAGTCGGAAGTTAAGGCAAGGTTAAACAGAGCATATATCTCAATAATATCCGTTTTAGCATCCATGAATCAGCAATCAAATCCAAGTCAGACGGAAGGCCATAAAAACAGTGCTCATCATTCATGGAAGATAATTTCAGGAGGANGAGAAAGAGTCGGAAGTTAAGGCAAGGTTAAACAGAGCATATATCTCAATAATATCCGTTTTAGCATCCATGAATCAGCAATCAAATCCAAGTCAGACGGAAGGCCATAAAAACAGTGCTCATCATTCATGGAAGATAATTTCAGGAGGAGATTTCGAAACCTGCATAACTTGAAAAAATGAAAGCAATTTTCAAATCCCTTTCGAACCGATTTTCATTAATTTAAATCCCTTCGTTCCCAAAAAAATTAAACCATATGAACTTTTTTCTCGAAAATATTACGTATACTTATTTTAACGTTATTTAGATCACCGCACAGTCCCTTTTCCTCAATAGAAAATACGATAACTAGAGAGAAAAAGATGTCCAACAGATTGCCAAAAAAAAATTGTTGTTCTGCACAGGTGCTCAAATATTTATCACCGGTGCGGCTTAACTGCCAATTTATTCGAAGAGAATTCCGGAAGTCGAAGAGGGATAAAGAGCCAGTCTGAGCCCGTTTTCTGACTGAAATCGCAGAAAAAAAAATCAATATGAATGAATTCAAGACTCAGTTTCGGCATATGTTGAATATTCTTTCCACGCATGTCTTTTTCTTACAATCGCGCCGAAAAGAATGCAGTCGAAGTACGAAAGGTCACACAGGTCATTGTTCTATCTTAAAAAAAAAATTCGTGAAAAATTTCCAAAAGCTAATACAAAGGCATAGAGTGGACATGATGTTTTCATTTATCCTCCACGTCGTTTGTGTCGGCTTGCTTGCAGCAAAGGATTTTCACTCCAGTCCAACACCGACTACCAAAAGGTCCCCAGTTGTTGTGAGTGCTGATGGTCTGAGCATCAGGATCATCAGTAGCTTGCCTGTTTTATAATTTCAAATTTCTGATGAGAATCGGCAAATATTCACACGAAGTCAAAAAAAACGAAGTGCCCAAGTAGACGAAAACTTCCCGAGAAAATTCCATCAAGGCCCACAGCATGAAAAAGGAGCCAATTTTTACTCTCCGTTTCATAATCTACAAAAATTTTTTTTCGGCGGTAAATTTTTTTGCCGAAGCTTTCCCAAAGACGAGGGAAAAATCGTAAACATTCGTGAGAGACGGTAGTTGAATATTCCTTTTTCGAAGTGCGGAATTCGGTACTAGGAATCTCCCCCACCCCCCACAGATTCGAAACAGCATGAAATTGTTGTTTGGAGAGCGAACTCACATTTGCGCAATCATGTCCTCGGGGCAAATGCCGTCGCAAAAGGGTGCGGTACCGAACCAGACGCAAGAATAGCTCCCACTGATCGCCTCCAAATTCGGCGATCTTATTCTCTCCAATTCGTGGTCAATTAAACCGGAACACAGTACTTTCTGCCCGGAAACGCATTGTTTTCCGAATGGCAAAACTTGTGCCAAATTCGGCAAGCCCTTGATTACCTCCGGTGCCGAAGACGCCACTCTGCAACGTTTTTCAGAAAGAAAAACATACAATGTGAGATTGCAACATTTTCGAATTTTTGTTACCAATTTTCTGCGAAAGAAGGCTCATGCTTTTTTTCCTTCTGCAAAACTTATGCAGAGAAAATTATTTTCAACTTGAAGGTTTCAAAAAATCTTTCTCACATAAAAAAAACACGATTCTTTTTTTCTCCAGATTCTTGAACTGAATCCAAACCTCGATAACTATTTCAAAAATATGGAGAAATATTTCGTTAAGACTTCTTCTGATGAATTAAGCTTTTCTACTCGAAAAATCAGGCATGCAAAAGCAGTTAAAAATGCTTTCGATGAGTCATCGAACTTAAATGTTGTTCAAACGGACATCATGAAAACGGTTTAACATAAAGTTTAAATTCCAGAACAAGGTTTTGTTCTATTCAAATCCTGAAAAATTTCCCCTCTGGAATATGAATATATTATCGCGATTTCTTTTGGGATACTAGTGCAATGCATGATATCAACATTTAGAACATAAATTATCAGGGAACAGCCGCCGCTCATTAAAAAATATTGTTGACTCCGAGGGCTGGTTAAAAGTTGACGACTTTTCATTATTATTTTTCCAAGTAAAGAGCGAATTCAGATATTCTAAAATTGAAGTGCTCCATCTGCCTTATCCCGTCACCAAGATTAAACGAAGAAGTTGCGGACAGAACGGTATTTATGTGACGAGATGATCAATTCATAACTAAATCCAAGATTCGTCATTTCTCACAATTCCTTTTCAAGTAAAACATGCGGAAGAGGAGCTCAAAATAAGTCCATGCTCAGTATTCCACACTAATTGTATAATCGCAATAAAATTCCGAGATTTCAAGTCCCTTCGGTACATGAATAAGCGAATCAAATATTTCCACATCCGCTTCCGCACTTACACTCGCGTTGAGTCTTGTGGGAAAAAAGGTTGTTGAATTCAAATTATGATGCAAGAATCAATACCCAATTCAGAAAAAAATTCCTCAATCCCCGGAAGATTATTCAATTCCACTCCCAAACCCAAATCAGTATTCCACGGAATAAATTGCACTCACGTGATTTCCGTCAATCCAGTCGGACACTCGTTAGACATGGAACAAAACGGCGAACTTCCGTACCATTTGAAGTACCGATTCTTGCCAAAGGCAGCGTCATCATGAAGCATGTAATGATTTTCGGAAATTACAGTGTCGATTGATTTCTTCCACAAACTGTGACGAATATTCGGAGATTTCTCGACAACTCCGCCGGAGCCGCGTTTCGTCAATATCGACACCAAGAGGAGGCAAATCACGCAAATTTCACTCGTTTTCATAGTGACACACGGCTTTAAAATTGTTATTTGAAATCTCACGACCAAAGCGATGAATAATGTCTTAAACACGAATTTGTGCGAGGAAGTGACAGGTGTGAAGAAGCATTTTATACGAGCATTGGTATATTAGGAAATAAAGAAAAGCGTATTGCGAAATTCGGCTTCAAAAGAACAAGGACAAGAACAACAACAACAAAAACGGGTCAAGAAACTCGTCGTCGATGGATGTGTTCATATATTGCATTAAAAAAAAAGAAGCTGTGTTGGATCATGCAAATCGAGTCCACGGGTGTTATTTTCTTTGTTCGTCAGCCTGCAAATATACAGCATGTACCATAAAAAGAAAAGCGGATATATTTTTTTCTGTTCTCTCAACACATTTTTTCTTTGTTTTACTTTCTTCATCCAAGCACACACAAACATACAACACGTGTCGAGTGAATTGTATAGGAATTCATTTTTCTTTTTCCGGCGTTGCGTCACGCGCACATATTTTTTTTTGTGATGCATTTTATTCTCGAGTTTTGTGGGCGTATTTTTTCCGAGAAGCTTCGTTGATCCATCGGGTCATTCGCTTCTTTTTCTTCCGAGATTTTTTTCCAAGGTCGTGGGTTGCTTTTTTCTGTGCGTGTCACGGCCTCACTTTTTGCAGCACAAGGCCTTCCTGCCTGACCAACACGGGCTTCCGAAGGGTTCCCATTTCACGTTCGGGCCAGCCATCGCAGCAGGGTCATGAGCAGAATAACTGGAAGACATAATATTCGGAGATTTCTCGACAACTCCGCCGGAGCCGCGTTTCGTCAATATCGACACCAAGAGGAGGCAAATCACGCAAATTTCACTCGTTTTCATAGTGACACACGGCTTTAAAATTGTTATTTGATATCTCACGACCAAAGCGATGAATAATGTCTTGAACACGAAGTTGTGCGAGGAAGTGACAGGTGTGAAGAAGCTTTTTATACGAGCATTGGTATATTAGGAAATAAAGAAAAGCGTATTGCGAAATTCGGCTTCAAAAGAACAAGGACAACAACAACAACAAAAAAACGGGTCAAGAAACTCGTCGTCGATGGATGTGTTCATATATTGCATTAAAAAAAAACGAAGCTGTGTTGGATCATGCAAATCGAGTCCACGGTTGTTATTTTCTTTGTTCGTCAGCCTGCATATACACATGCACCATAAAAAGAAAAGCGAGTATTTTTTTTCGGTTCTCTCAACACATTTTTTTGTTTTACTTTCTTCATCCAAGCACACATAAACATACAACACGTGTCGATTGAATTGTATAGGAATTCATTTTTCTTTTTCCGGCGTTGCGTCACGCGCACATTTTTTTTTTCAATGCATTTTATTCTCGAGTTCTGTGGGCGTATTTTTTCCGAGAAGCTTCGTTGATACATCGGGTCATTCGCTTCTGTTTCTTCCGAGATTTTTTTCCAAGGTCGTGGGTTGCTTTATTTTGTGTCACAGTGCCGGAGTGAAAAACGTCGTGTTCCGGAAGGACGGACTGGTTGTGCCCGAAGGCTTCCCAAGGGTAAAGTGCAAGCCCGGTCGGTAGCGTCGTCCCAGTACTCGTCTTATTGACCTTCTGTATTGCAACAATGAAAAAAAACGAACGAACGAAAAAAGAAAATAATTTTGAAATCTTAGAATATCTTTCAACTAGCCGCGAGTAAAAATGATTTGCGGGCAAAATATCGAGAACGAATAACGCAATCGGTTAAGCAATCGAAGTTGCATGGTTATATATACAAAGGCAAATGCTTGTGTTACGTCGGATGCAAATGAGGTGCATCAGTAATGAATATATCGGTACACGATTTATATGCGAATATAACATTGGTCATCGTAGTAATTCATTCAGAAATCTATTCATGTGGTCTTTTGGAATGCAATTTATGGTTCATTTTATTTGTATCATCAAGCCTGAACCGAGGGAATTTCATAATTATGTGGTGGTGGTGTGTCGCAGTCTTTGAGGAAGGAAGCACGAAACACAATTATAAAGGGATGGTGATGACGCTGCGATTTTCAAAAGATAAAATTCTTTATTGTTTTTAAAAAGCGTCTTTAAAAGTACGTAGCTTTTAAATAATATGAAAGTTTTGAGCTTTAAAAGGAATTCACACAGACACTTAAGGAACCTTATAATATTTCGAACGCTTTACAAAAGTTAAAACTTTGTATTTTTAAGTCTACCCGAAGCAAAACGCCAAAAAAAAAACCTGAAAGATAAATTCCGTTCCCATTTAATTTTCTTCCGTGACAGCCTTAATTGAGCGCATATTCTAAAAAAGCACTCAATTATTTCAAGTTCGGTCTTTATTTGAGATGAAGCAATGAATTTTTCAGACGCAGTTCTGCTTAAAATTAAATCAAGATTTTATTTTTTCACGGCGGAAAAATGACATTTTTTAGGGTACCGTATTTCATCGGATAAATTAAATGGGAAACCTAAATTTTGACGACATTGACAAGACATTTCAAAAATTTCCATCACACACGTCCAGCATGGAATAAAGTGGAGCAAGTTATGAATTATGCTTGATCATTTTTTTCAACTCTTCGGGAAATCCTCGAATGGTTCCGAAAAATAAATATTTTGATAAACAACGATGGAATCGAAAAAACTTGGAGCGTCTTGCTGTTGATGAATAAATAAATGAACCCATGTCAGAAATCATCTTGTATGAGATCCAGTTTCATATTTTCCCGCACCGGAGATTTGAGTGCATGATGTTTTGATGTGAGGATAAAGATGGAGGTTAAATAGATTCACAGCACATCCCAAGAATTTTAAATAGAACTACGCAAGACAGTGAAGTATCAAAGGCGAGCATGCTTTTCAATGTAAAATAATAATAAAAAAGTGATCTGAATGACGTAACGTGAATCTTCAGCAGCATAAATAATCCTTGCCGATTCTTCTCTCTTCACGTGGAAGTATCCATTTTTAATTTCGATAAATTGGAAAATATTCCTTCTGGCTCAAAAATAGTTTGATCAAAACTGATCGATTTCGAGCAAAGAATTATATTTTCTCTGAATGCAAAAAGAAGTACGCATGTGGTACGATGGGAACTAACACAGGAATACAGTAGATAATATTCCCCTTTCTCTTATGGCCTGACGTCAGATATTGTATTTGAGTATAACTGTAGAATGCACATATGTAACTGTAGATCGCTCTAGAATAAAGCTGCCCAAATGAAAATAAGATTGATATTTTTCTCCCGATGAAGAATTCACAAAGGATATAAAGCCTGGGTGAAAAAAATAATTGTCTGTTTTGAATGCATATCCAGGTATTACTTCGTCAATTAAAGCGACATCTACCAGTAAAAATTCAATTCGTCATCGCGTAACAGACGAATTGCCGTATTTACTCGCGAATATAAAAAAGCTATCGATTGGAAGAAAAATATCTTTCGAATCTTTAAACGAGCAAAATTGGCGTGCAAATTTGGCTCACACTCGTAGATATACTCGATTTCTTTAAAAGAATGCCAAGGAAAATAAGTAGATTCTGCTCTTCATCGCATATTTGCAGTTTCCGCACCAGGCTGATAAAACCCTCAACCATCTTCAAATTAAATTTAAATTTCACCTTCCGCTGACTTGAACTGAAAGTTGAGATGAGGATTATTACATTCTAGAAAGCTTTTCTTTGAAAACATTCAGAAGGCCAGAAAACCCAAAAGTCAGAAAAAAGTAACCACGAGCAAGAAAAAAGACAGTTACAAGTAATGCAAGACTACATCGAATTAAAGACGTAATTAAATGTAAGACACAATCTGATTGTTGAAAAAAAAAAAAACTTCTCGTGTATATTAGTATTAGGGTAAAATTTGATTTCTGAAATTTATCTGATGGATATGTCGAGTCACGAATAACAGATGGCGCTTGCAGTAAACGAAAACTTGACGCAACACCTGTTTTTTCAGCAATAATAAGCCAGTACATGAAAATCGGGTAAGCTTTTCTGTGTGCCCCAGTTAACATTATTTGTCAGTTTTTTCCATCAACGAAACCGCCAGAAAAACTTGAAGTAATATTTCCCCACGAATAGTGAAACCTTCATTTTTGAAACACGATATTTGATTACTTCGTGTTCTATTTATATTTTGCTCAGTCGTCCAGAAATTTGCCGATCATGACGACTCAATTGATAGAGTATATATGCGTCAATCTTGTCCTAAAGTAAACCTTTGCCTGAGCTTTTAAACCTTTTTTTTCAATTGTCTCCTTGCACAAATTCCTCGCCATATGCGTGCTTTTTCTGACATGCGCTAAAACATTAGGGGTCTTGCCGAACCTCGTAACCGACTTCGGGCCTCGTAACGTCTTCGTTTAACTCCATTCATTGTCATCATTTTTTATCCTCTTATTTTTGTTAATGTTGGAAGGCAGGAAAAAAAAAGAAGAGTCTCACGTTTCAGTCCTCAGGCCCTTGGGGCATTCTCCGCTGCAAACCGGAGCAGTGCCGAACCAAACGCAGTCGTACAAATTGGAGCCTACTGTAGTAGTAGTACCTTCAGTGGTCGTGGTGCACTGCAAGTAACGCAAGACGACCTGACAGCTCGACCGACTGCTGCGGCTACTGCTGCTCCTACAGCTTCGAGGAAGCTACTGTGGGCTCGTGTCTTGAAACGCGGGACTGGTTGTCCACAGCGGCTAAGGCAGGATGTCACCCAAGTTCGGATACCCGTTGATTTCCTTGGGTTTCGTGGAGGCTGTGCTGGAAATTCAAATGGCAAACGTGATTTCAAAGATCAACTCTTGATAAATTATTTTATACCGGTTGATGATATTCTCTGTGACTTCTAAATAATAATAATGAAAAAAATTTAACGCTTTTCGTGGACATTGTGGAAGTATATTGGAAAATTCAATAGCGGAAAAAACATTACAACCAAATACTGTATCTTGAAGACAAACTCCAGGTAACCGTAACGAAGTTGACTGAAGAAGTTTTCAAGATGGAAACTAGCATTTTTGCTGAAAAAATGAATAGTTTCAGTAAGGATAAATTGGCGATCTTCTGATGGACATGAAACTGTTCGGTACATGTGATTAAATATGATATTTAACTTGGAGGCAACGTTCCCTTTTTCAAATTGTTCACCCTCTTTATTTTTGAGAAACATCAAGTTGCAATTTTGCTGTAGCTTTTCTCTGTCTTGGATCACAAAAAAATTAGCCCAAGAGATTCCAAAAATTTGAGTAACTCTGTACATGCTTGAAGAGGAAAGACTTAATTCTGATTAGGCCGTCTATAATATTGTACATTGTTCTTCGGGGAATTCCCAAACATTTCACACTGGGAGGTTTTTTGACTTGGAAAGTTTTGAGTACACCTAAGGTTCGAATGTAAAAACTGGTGAAAATGTGTATTTATGGGTTAAAATTCTGTTGTTCACGCATCTGAATGTCAGCATACAAATTATAAAATTTTTATCAAAAGAGAAAAGTTAGCAGTCGAATTCCCATTTTCAGGATATATATATTGACGAGATTTTCAGTGAGCAATGAATGTTTTCGATCAACTTTTTCTGGAAACATTCAAAAATGCTCACTTGTTCGTTTGGTTCTGTGCCGTGTTGAGTTTGTTGCTCAACCTCAATCCAAACTCAGCAACTTTTACTTCTTAAAAAAATGATTGAGGAAAGCGAGAAATATATCAAAATCCAATGCTCTAACATAAACTTTCATATATTTTATTTCTTGTATCACGCGTGAACAGCAGTGTTGCGTTGTTCAAGTTCCTCAGAAGCTTTCTCAAAAATTTCAGTTCAAAGTCTTCTATTATTTATTTCAGTCGTTCGAGATATATAAAATATTTTCCCTCGATCTTTTCAAGTACGAAGAATACAATTGGAAGACAGCGGCTACAAACTTTCTATGATTTTGACATCCTTTGTTTTATTGTTTTAACGGTTTGGCAAGGGCGAAATAAAATGTTGCGTTTTTATTTTCAATTGCTTCTGGAATGCCAAATGCTTACGTAATTTGAGTGGTTCCAGTTGGGCAAACACCGGCACAAATTGGCGAATGTCCGTGCCATTTGTAGTAGTGACTGCTGCCAAATGCAGTGTTTCCTCTCAAAAAATACGTTTCTTCAGCCGAAGAAATTTGAAGCACCAACAACAATATGGCCACTGATCCCAACATTTTGAACGGGAATGTAAATAAATATTTTTGATTCTGGAAAAAAAAATCGAAAAATTTTTCAGATGATCTTGCGATGGAACTCCAAATTGAAATAAATTTCGAAACCGAACGAGAAATATGTCTTTATAAAAACAAAAAATCCTGAAATAATATATATAAAGCTGGATGTTGCGAATATTTCTCGAAGTGTGAAAAACGAAGCAACTTTTCTCCTTTTTTTTTACAATTATTTCGAACTCGAAGCAGTTCGATTCAGTCGACTGAACCTTCAGGATGGAATCGAATTCAATTTATAGTCGAGATTCGAGTCCATATGACAATAAAATTATCATCCGTTGTCCGGAAATGGTCTTGGCAGCTGTTTTCACAGTCATGAGACTCGCACTTTTGCGTTGCTAGGGATTCTGCTACCGAGAACAACAAAGGAAGTAAATACAATTTCGTAGTCTGAATTTCAAATCGTTTTCCTCGAAAAAGAGCTCGTGCCTTGAACTTTTTTATTTTTACATTATATAGAAACCAGAATTTCCCAGCGTCGTTCTGGGGAAAGTACATTCGCTTTCTCACGAACTCCTACATAGGTTTAAATCAATACAGTATATCCTGGACATTCACGAGGTCGTCGAATAATTAGTCCGAGTGATTCTTGAAGATTTATAGCTCAATATATTTCTTTGGCCCTCGTCTGTGCTCCTTAAGAATGTGAGTGGACGAAACTAAATCTTGCTAGAGTAATTTTCGCGGTCCCTAAAATCTTAGCGGGTGATGGATTGAAAGGTTAATCGTTAAAACTGTTCAAACCAGCTATCCATCATCCAGGTTTGTCTCTTGAAACGAACGGGTTACCTATAATGCAACACCTACATTGCAGGAAAAAAAAACCACAGTTTTAAAGTGCCTTAAACCCAAATCTTTGTATAGCGCATGGCGCAGCTGAAAAAGCGGGAAAATGAACGACTTTTATTGGACGGAATAAAACATTACACAGGCTCAACCTCAAAAATTCAAGCAATAATTTCATTTTTTCACAAAATGTTATTGACTGAAGAATGCAGCGAATATAATTCCATGAAGTAACACGAACTTTCATGCACTTCATGATTTAAATAAATCTGTACTGAACCGCCACGTGTCTTTCTCAAGAAGCGCACTGTAAATTCTTCAATTATTCGATTTTCTGAATTATGAAAAGAATCCTGTGTTTTGATCATTTCATGTAATGAATGATGGATAATAAGAATTTTTGGCAAGCGTTCCTGCATGCCTTTGAACTAACTTTTTATTATGAATAATAAGAATGAATGAATGAACAGAACACTTTATTTGCCGCTTTTCAGCATTCACAAGGTTCAATCAAGATTTCCACAACCAAACCTTCCCACCCAACCCAAATAAGAATAATAAGAATGAAAAATGAATAATAAGAAAAATTAATAATGATACTTTTTTGAGAGCTTTCCTGCATGCCTTTGAAATTATTTTGTTTATTATGCACAAAGCAATTTAGGTAAAAATTGAAATTAAGGAGGAATTCAGCATGATATAGAGGCCGGAAACGGTTCGCTTAATTTCACTTGACAACACAAATAAAAGTTCGAGGCAAGGTTTAAATCATCTGAAAAATAATTGTGTGGCATTGTAACACGCAGATGATCAACTGAACAACCCAATGCAATTCTTCGCCTTTGAATCTGATAAAAAAAAACCAGAGGTCAAGAAAATCATAAAAAATGAAAATCGAGTTGAACGGAGTTTGCACACAAATGTACACCAGCAGAACATTTAAAATAAATATATTTAAATCATTCCTTTGAAATATCCGAGGCATCCATTCAAGCATTTCAATGAATTTCTCACACATTCAGGAAAGAATGGAAAAAATGCATTTCCGAGCGAGAAAATAATTGGGCATCATCCAATGAAGCCAGAAAATTTTAGGCAAAAAAAGAAGCACGCCGTTGGTTCATAATTTTGACTGAACCTGTTTTTAGATTTTACTTGTCGGGAAAAAACAGTCCATTTCCGCCACAGCAAAGTTTCTTCGATCCAGTGACACAAGAACGACCGAAATATGGAAGAACCCTGCTGAAACCCGGGATTCTCACGGGGTCGCTTTTCGCAGTCCTGTGAATTCAAAAATTAACTTCATTAAAAAAATTCAACGTCCGAAATCATGCAATTTAATAATATGGAAAGAACAGTGGCTTCGATTCGATTCATCATATATCGTAACTCACGTGATCGGATAGGTGAGTTTAGGACACTCTCCGAAACAGAACGGAGAATGTCCGATCCATTCGCAAAAGTGGCCTTGTCCATCAGTCAATGTTTGCAAACTTAGTGCGAAAACGAAAACTAGGACTAGTGCAAAATGTCCCGACCTGAGAGATGCCATGCTTGAAACACTCATAGACTTTTTCTTCCACGAAAAGCAGGCCTTTAACTGAGTGCTGGAAGACTGTTGACTGCATAGAGTTACTCGAAATTTCTGTTCTTGGAATGGTGATAATTATTATTTTTACGCAACTTCCGAAGCGAGTTTCCGGTAGTTGATAAAAAATTATCTTTGTGCCCTAGTTCCAACAGGCGGCTTCAATTTTTTCTTCAATCCATTTTTAGTTTTCTTGACGTCTTTTGCTTCTCAAACGTCACTTTTTTTTCCATGTTATTCAACCGTAATATTTCTTTGGAAATATCGAATGCCAATGGAATATGGTAGACTATGTACTTCCCCAGATGGAATAAAACGACGAGCGCAACACTTCCGATGGTTTATTATCGTAAAAAAAATTGAATATCAAAATAATAATTTAAAATAATGGCACTGAGTTGACAGCGAGGAGAGCTCTTGATTCCATGCCTTATTGTGTGGGGCATTGATAACAAAATTTGAGTTTGTGAGGTTTGATAGAAAAGACTTTGATGAGTTAAAGAGGCTTTTGATAAATTGTTTCGAAGGGAATTCGTGCAGATGGGGACTTCAAACACAAATTTTGACTTATAGGCAGGTATTTGTCTCAGGGCGATTAAAATTGTCCAGGATCAACTAACTATATCAACTTTTTTTCTCACCAAAATTGCTGGTTTCCCCAACTCAAAAAACTCCTCACTTGAAATTCTCATTTTGCTGTTTCTTTGGAGGTCCTATTTTCAGTGGATGTATGCACCGCTGAGGCTATGGCACTGAGTGCGAAAAAAACAAAGCTTGTTTGTAACGTATTAATGTCCAAGGAGCCTTAAAATAGTCTTATTTGCTGGCCCAAGCCCCAAAAATGCAAATACATTGTGTGCTGTTCCTTGCTTTTCATATATTAAAGTACGATTTTATTTTAGATAACCCTATATATACTGATCTACGACGCTCAGTAGCCAAAATAATGTGGCCCCTTTCTCAAGCGGCTCATGTCTCAGAAGAAAACGAAAAAATTACTTGCCATTATGTCAAATATGCTCAGCAGTTTTCATGAACTTTTTTCTAAGGATTCGAAGAAAGATGCTTTGAAATTGAAGAAAGGTCTGCCAGCAATATAGCATCCAATAATGTACGTGCATTGATCGGCGCTGAACTCAGCTATTTTCATCCCGAATTTGTCACAAACTTGCAATTTTTCTGTTATTCACCTGAACTTGTGATCTTTAAAAAATAATCGATGGTCTTTCCCTATTAAATCGGTTATGATACTGCAGTTGTTGAATTCGTTAGGTAATTTCAAAGTAGAACTAGAACTTGATGCTTTCTTGATTTATTGGAGATTTAAAAGTTTCCTCCAAATTACCATCAAATTAGCCCTCATTATCAGAGTTGAGCTTTGCTGTACTAGTATAGAATCAACTTCCTGAGACGAGAACTTGAGAATACTGTCCCAAAAAACTCTGGCGTAACTGCTGTGCCAAAATTCAAAATGAGTTTATCATATAAAATTATAACCAGAAATTCTTGCAGGTTGGAATTTATTTTCATAGTTACTGTTTCGAGTGTTTCCTGACATACAACTATGTTATTTTTCAGATTATACTCTTAAAATGAACAAGCAGGAAAGCATAAATATAATGTGCATAAAAATGTTTGCCAATGTTTGTGGAATATTGAAGAATATTGTTACTCAGGTCAGAAAATAACCAAACAAAGTTCTCTCTCTCTCTCTCTCTCTACAAAACAATTAAAGGGACAAAATAACTTTGCAGATATAATTTCATTGTAGATAACTCGTATGCCATGGGTACAGAACCCTGTGGAACCAACAAAATTGTTACAAAGAGAAAATTGTAGACACAATTTTCATATATATATTTATATACAGTACAGTATATGGACAATTTTGTCTAAAAAAAAAATTCTAAATTCACAAAATAAACCAACCCCCAAACAAAACCCTCAGGTATATGAGGTAATAAATTAAACTCTTTACCCGAGTTTCGGATTACAAAAGGAATTCGCGGAACAATCCCTTGGAGGTGGACCTATTCTCTTTATATACCTCTACGTGAATGTCGATACATATCCACATCCTATCTCTGTGTTTTTATTCTTATTTGTCTAGTTCGTCGCTTAAGGTAAGGCTCTTCGTAGGTGCCCCGCCGGGTCCGCAATTATCTGAATCCCTGCAATCATCATTCACCACCAGCATGAATCACCAAACATCACGAACAAACTGGTTACAAAACAGCGTCCACACCCCGTGCATTTCTGGCGGTTGCGCTTATGGGTTGTTGCTGCAACCCGGGCTGCCCGTCAGTCCTGGGTTCGCTTTATTCTCACTACTACAGCACACACATGCAGGGCGCGAATGACGAAAAGGGAAAGAAAACGAAAGCAGTCTAAGGTCACTATCTAATGGAACAAGTGAGCTCTGAGTTAGTTTTACGAAGCGAAATGAAAGAAGTCGAGCACCCAATAAATAAATAAAAAAGAGACATGGAATAAAAACGAAGGGCAGCAGAAATCTCAGACCGTTGCTATTCGTCGTCCTCCAGTAAACTCCCATTACTTACTTCGCCTTTTTCTCTTCTCCTCCTTTAGAGTAGGTCCTAAAGCTCTGCTGTACCCAAGAAGCATTTCATGCGACTTACCCAACAGCAAACATAAAACCACGATTTATGCGTGGGCTCTTTGACTCGATCCATCCTTATTATAGCGTGAAGTATCCTTTTTGATGCCTAGTCTCCAAAAAAAAAATTGATTCATGCAAAAAAAAATCGGTGTGACAATCATTTCTACTTCCAAAAAGTGAATAACAGATAATTAAGTTTCAAATTTAAACAATATCTGCACAAGAAATCCCCGAGTTTTGACAAGTTCAGAGTTTGATTTTGAAATTGCTCAACTAATGCAGACATTGCTGTGAAAAAGGAAATAAACTTGAAACTGTTGATCTTTCATAGCCATTAAAATTTGAAGATGTCAGAACTTTGAGAGCTTCAAATTCTAAATTGTTTTTCAAGGCATTCTGAATGTAATAAGCTACTGTAAAATGTTAAAAAGCCTATGGTTTAAAATATATAAGATGGAAATACTGTAAAGTATTGGACTTTTACAGGACCTTGTCTATGTTGACCAGTTTGGGTTTTTTTAAATTTCTGCTGGGTTCCAGGGTACTAGATTTTTTAAAGAATCGTAATTAGAAAAGTTTTGGAAACCTTGGAATTCAAAAATAAAATAAAAACATGCTGAAATTGCACCAAATATTCGTCCCAATAAGAATATTGAACAAAAAGAAAAAGACAGCAATATTGTAAAGCAAAATTCTGCTGTACGCCTTCGTTTCCAGATAAAATCATAACTTTTCCAAATACTGTAATACAAAACATTCACATCCGTCGGTGTTAACTCTGAAAATTAACCCCCGTATAGCCAAATTTTCGGCGCAATAGCGTGACAACATTTTAAAAAAACAGTAAAATGCATAGATTTTTTACGTCTATTGGAGATTTTTGGAGGATCTTGAACAGAAAAATATTTCGCATAAAAAATTAAAGGCAATCATGTATTCCATGATAAAATTTGGAACAATGAAATATTTCTTAGAATAGATTAGTTTTCCTGCGCAGGTACCGAATACGTGTACGTGAATGAAATTTTCCTCAGAAAAAAAAACCGGCTCAGGTATTTCCGTGCTATTCTTCACATTTTTGTCATATTTTTAATTCATCATAACTGTTTCATGTAGAAGTATATCCTCGATCTTTCGTTTATTTATGAATGGAAACTATTACGGAAAATGGCTTTCATAGGGTAAGAATGTTTGACTGATGAAGATCAGCTGCTCGTGACAAAATAATTCATGTACAGTGAAAATGCTCTCTCTTTAAATGAGGTCCTTTTGATAGATTTTTATTATTATGTCAGGGCTAAATAAATTTTTCGAAGACCGAGAATTATATAAGTCAATAGATGGACTTATTTCCGAAAGAAATGTTGACAACACTGAGTTAGCGTCACAAAATTCCAAGGAAACTCGAAATTTTTTTATGACATTCTTTGGGCAGAGTTTAAAAAACCATCAAAAATAATCCAAACTGTGCCTGAGTTTTACGAAACAAAACCAGAAGAAAATACTGTATAACGGTTCTGCATATTTTTTTTACAAACTGTAGTTCTTCCCCAAAAATCTGAAAGCCTGATTGTAAAGCCCTGTACTGTACTGTACAATGAAATATAACCTTAAATTTAAAATGTTCTGCCTTTATATTTCCCTTCTCAGACAGAATTAAATTATAAAGCTTTCTTACATATACATTTTCTCCCGAACTATTATTAAGGATACCTTGCAACCTTGCAATTGTTTCACTGGTAGCTCTCATATTTACGTTTTAAAATTAATTTCCTACTCCGTTTCGCAAATTTTGCAAGTAGTTGTGGAATTATCTTTGAGATCACTGTACTGTAATGTTTTCTGTAAAAATGGGGAAAGAGTCTCCCTATTTTCCTGAAAACGTCATAATTCTGGAGCAACTAACCTAAAATTTGCATTAAAATACCACTCCTGAACATGGATATATTAGAAAAATAAACAAAAAACTATCGGATATGCCCACCTTAGTGTTGAAAATGACTGCGAATAATAACGAAAAAAGAGACGAAAATTAGAATAAGGAGAATCTATGCAAGTCTGCGGACAGCAGCAGGGGAGTCAATCAACCCGCTCCATTCAAATGGAGCAAACCTGGGCGTGACCTGGGTTTCTGCCGGGAAGATAGCCTCAGGGCAAAGTTGGCTAGCTCTCCCCACCGTCTGTTTGGGACGCGTATAAAAACCCGGCTGCTCTGGGTTCTAGAGCATCAGTTGTGCATTCCTCTTTTGCAGTTCAAACCTAAGAAAAGAGCAGGGAAAAAAAATTTGAAAACCTTTTTCGTTCTCATTCAAAAAATATTACGGAATTCACCATGAACAAGGTCAGCAAAACATTTATTCTTTTCCCCATCTTTGAAAGTTTTTCGCAATCATGGCTGAGCAAAAGAAAAAAAATTCGTTCAAAATCAG